GTTGGAGAGCCCACCACCTCATGGGATGGATTAGCTCTGTTTATCTAGGCCTCCTGCACTATCTTGTCCTTTTCTTCGGTAACACTCATGAGCACGAGAACTCTGCTTTAATGTCCCCGGGAGCTGTCATGCTCTGGCACCACTAAATAGTGACAGAATGAATCCAACTGTGCTTTGATGAGAGGGTGTGTTAGAAGGATTAATTTAAAAATACTAACACCAAAGGATGTCAACATGGCGTTATCCAAAATATGACTGGAGCAATCTCATATTAGTTCATAATGAAGGAAGGTGGTCCTTTACATTGACCAAGGTTTAAAAGTGTAGGAACAGCTCCCCAGAACAATCCCTCACCCAGGTAGTACAGGACCTACATCAAAACCACTGTCCTCGGGGCGCCTGGGTGGCTCAGTGGGTTAAGCCGCTGCCTTCGGCTCAGGTCGTGATCTCGGGGTCCTGGGATCGAGCCCCGCATCGGGCTCTCTGCTCAGCGGGGAGCCTGCTTCCCCCTCTCTCTCTGCTTCCCCCTCTCTCTCTGCCTGCCCCTCTTCCTACTTGTGATCTCTCTCTGTCAAATAAGTAAAATAAAATCTTAAAAAAAAAAAAAAAGAAAACCACTGTCCTCAGTCTTTGTCTCTGTCCTTCCGCCATTCCTTCTTTCGTGTTTTTTTTTCAGACACAGATGAAGTGTGTGTGTGTGTATGTGTGTGTGTAGGTATTACAAAACAGGTGAACTCCGAGCCTCCCAATCTTTAAAATCTCAAGTTGAACACATTATTTGCTATTTTTCAGGGGCCGCTGCACTCAGGACAGACTTAATATCCAGGGATCTTATTTCCTTTTACCAATGAGATCTACTTTTTTCAAAAAGTACCAGCTGATGACTTTGGTTAAAGTCTCATTTGACTTAGAATGTCATTTGGAATTGAGGGATAAAACCCATGAAATGAAAATACGGATATTAAAATAGAGCAGAAAATGGATTATTTAGCCCTGCCAAAAAATGCATCTGTTTAGAGTAAAACTTAATAGAATATTCTTTGGAAAAATTATCCAGGGGAAGAAACCCAAAAGGAAGCTTTTTTCCCCTTGCTTTGCAATTCTTTAACCATCAAGTGTAGTGCCTGGCGTTCCATAAATAGATGAAGGCGACTAAAAGGTTAATCTGCAGTAATTCGTTTTCAAATGTTATAATATGCTTTGCTAGTTTTGGAATATTTCTGCTGTTTAAAGACTTTAAAAATTAAAGCCTTTCTTTTTGATGTACTTACCTTCTGAAGGTGTTTTTGCTTGCGGTCTGGGCACACTTTTGTCTACATGTAGGCACATATGAATGGACACGATGACATTCTTGCTATTTCGAGGTTTTTGGAAAAATAAATCTTACGTATACATTTTTAAAGTATATGGATTGCCTTTGTTATATAAATAGGTCACATTCATTCTTCCATCCTTCATCCAGTCAGTCATTTCTTTCAACATCTTATAGTCATGCCAGGCCTTATGTTAGGCCTGGAAGTATGTGACCTGATAGGCATGGTCCCCGTCTGTGTGTCACGGACCATGTAGTGATGTCAGCAACTGTAAAAGTCATCTATGACATTCTTTTGCTTCAGGGTTCTTGAGTCATTGCTTACTTGATATGTTTATATCTTACTTTTGATATATTATTATTGATACCATTGTTATTATCTTGATACCATTATTATATATTATTATTTTTGATACCTTTTTTTCCCTGCCACTCATAGATGAACTTTCTAAACAAGCTACCTTCCAACCTTATTCCAGAGCAACTGAACATTCCAGAATCAGTTGGTGATTCTATAGTAACACAAATTAAGTGTCCATTCTGCAAAATGTCTCCTTGGAGAAAACAAAGGTTATACTATGTAATTCATGGATTTAAAAACTTCATGGTGCTTACTATTTACCTCCATTAAAAAGAGCAGCTCATACAAATTTAAAATTAATAGATTCGATCCAGTTTGCCTATTGTTATTTTTGAGGCCTGTTACAGACGAGAAATTATGCAAATGGCTGTCAGGCTGCCACTACTGCACTCACACTGGGAATGCATCATAACTCGTTTCTTAGAAACACTTATCTGGAACAGGTCGAGCTCTCAGCCATTTGCAGGGACATGTCCCTGCCTTCAGATGGTTCACTTTGAACTAATAAGTATTGTTAGAGGGTTGAGGGAGGAGGTGGGGAGGTGGGAAGGAAAGCAGGATAAATTACTGGGACCCTATAATTTGGAAGGGCCAGGGAAAAAATCTCTGGCAGAGTTGGTTTAGCTTGGTCCTCTTGACCAGGCAGTCAGTGACCTTTGAAACTGTGTCCTGCTGCCCTTCTTGTTCTGCTCTTTTCCGAGAAAAACAGCTGGCATCAAATTTTAACCCTCTAGGCTGCCTGAAAGTTCCCCCCGTCGATTCATCTTCATCTCCTGATTATGCCTCTGGCTCTCCTCCTGGAACCAGGTCTTCTTCATATCCTGTTACATTCATTCATTTATTCATCTGGCACACAAATGGGATGACCAAAAAGTTCAGTCCAACTATACGATGCTGTAATTGTATAAGCCAAAATGTGAGCCTCTGTTATGTGCACCATGAGGAATACAAGAACACAGAACACATTATCCTTATTCTTAAGATTCTTAATGACAGTAAATGGAAACACAAAAAGTTGCACTGACCAAAGGTGTACATCTTCATTCTCTAAACCGTGCTCTTGTAACTGCATTCTCTGAGTGCCGTTCCTGTCTGTGCACGATAATCCTTTGTACTTCTTCCTTCAAAACCATGCCTATGTTTATCTACTCCAGGAAGTCATCCCACTGGAGCTCAGTCCCAGGTTGAATCGACTCTTCCTCAGAAATTACGGATGCAGCTAATGCAAAGTTTCTTGGCTCTTGCTGTCTGCTGCTCTGCAGTCTTCAGCTTATTTTGCAAGGGCCTCCATGCCACCTTGGCTGACCAGAAAAGGAGCTCACTGTATGCTGGCAGGCCCTGCTTTCCTGTTCCTAGCTCCTCCTCTGTCCTGTTAGCTGCGCACAGCCCAGGGCATGCTACTGAATGCTGTTGAAAGTCACTTTTCCTTCCTTGAGAAGCCAAATCAGAAACTCACAGGTGGGTCTGCCTACGGGCTTTGCTTAGCGCTTGACTTAGAAAAAGATGTTTGTATCATGTCTGGAATGAAGGGGTAATGTACCCTCAAGTGGGGGGGAATATAAAGTTGGCGATATTACATGATGTGCACATGGGGCTTGGGAAGATGGTTTTGATTCTGCTGCTTCTGCTGGTAGGAGACACTAAGCAGATCAGGTTCACAAGCCATTAGCATCATGTTAATCTTGGCTAGCAGGGAAGCAAAGCCACCAAGGATTTCGTAGATTTACCAGCCCCTCTCACAATAGCTATCTGAGCCCAACACCACTTGGAACCTCGGTCAGAAAAAAGTCCTCTGGTGACAATGTGTCTGTCATACATTCTGGTCCATACACTCCTCAAAGACACCATGTTCTGGCCATGAAGTGTTCTGCTGCTTTTTGGAGGACTGAGAAACCAATCTCGGATAAGCTGGATTCAGAAAATAGGTCATCGGTGTGAGTTGCAATTATTTTCCTTCCGGCTTGCTTCTGTGTTTCCTTTAGATTGCTTTTCCGCAAAGGGCAGGCGCAGCTGGCCTTGGCTGGTGTGCAGCAGAGGTGGGGGGGCTGGCGGAGGGGGGACACACCACCACTCTAGCCTCAGGCCTTTATGAGGCACCACCCAGATTCCTGGAGCTTCCAGCTTGCATCTATCTGCCTTTTGCCTGGGCTGTTAAATTCCCATTAAAGGGGAATTTAAAGGAGTGAAGAAATACCCTCCTTGAGTATTGATTTCTCTCTCTCTCTCTCTCTCTCTCTCTCTCTCTCTCTCACACACACACACACACACACACATACACACACACACATCATTGTTCATAGCCACTTGATTTGCCACCTGCAGTTTATAATAGAACGGATGTGTGGGATTATAAACCACTTTATTTTGCACAGAATTTCTCAGCTTGAGGCCAGATTGAAGGGCATTAGTCATCAGTAATTTGCAGTTATTTTTAATGTATTTCACTCGGAAAGGTTTAAGGCAGCTAAAGCTAAGATAAAGTTCCCCATGCTTTGGTGAGGAAGTGAAAAATCTGATCATTTAGTTAATCATTGGTCATAGCTGTGGTTGTGTATTTTTCCTAAGTGAGTGCAACATCGTGACTGATTTGTGATTTGGTAACATGGCAATTTGAATGATAGTAAATAAAGTCAATTATGCCATGACTCTCCACCCCTACCCCCAATATTTGTATAGGTTTAAGGTTTAAAATTCATAGAACGTTAGAGAAGGGAACTTAGAGATCATTGGGATCACCTTGGGTGCCCTGTAAAATGCTAGTTCCCACCCTGCCTAAGATTCGGTGTCAGCAGGCCTGGGTGTGAGCAAGTACAGTGAGCAGTGCCTGCAGGAAACTTTGAGAAACAGTGATTTTCGTTCAACCACCTCATTCTTCAGAAGAGGAAACAGAGGCACAAAGAGATGAAGAGACTTAAGATATTTGCCGGGATCCCAGAAAGCTAAGCCTGCCGCTGCAGACCAGGTGTCCTGCTTTCCAATTCATTGCAGTCCCTTGCTTCTCTTGCTCTGGAATTAGCCTGGCTCCGTGCGGTTACTGGCTTTGTCCGCAGCAGCCAGACTTGGTTCCCTTCGCGAGCACGCACAGTGGGGCGAAGGGAGACTTTCCTCTTAGCCTTGCTCCTGCTTCCTGGCCTCCCTCGTCGTGGTGGGGTGCTCGCGTAGCGCCTCTCCTTGCTCCCTCACCCCATCAGGGCCACCTGCCCAAATGGAGGTCCAACGTAAGATTCAATAGCCGAGAAGCCCCACACAAACCAACTTCAGACTTTCTCTGCTGCAGCTTGGGACTCTGCCGGAAGAGCCCCTCACAGAGCTCGCCTCCCTCCTCAGGCGGCGCTCTTCCTCACTCCTGTCCCAACTGCAGCCTATGGACGGCTGCTGGGGACGCCTCGCGGGACCCCAGCCCATCCCACACACTCCCGCCCGCCCGCCTCAGGGTCCACCGTGAGTAAGGTGGTTCCAGAAGATTCCTCAGAGACCGAGGTAAACAAATGGAGCTGTGAATGGTGGGAAGGAGGTTTCCGAACTGCAGGGCGGGAAGGAGCAGGCGGAGGTTTTCGGCCCGGGAATAGCAAGGATAACCAAACAGACCCGAGGTGGCAGGGAATGCCGAGTGCTGCGTGGACAGCAAGATGGCGGTGGCGAGTGACCCGCAGCAAGGGAGAGAGGGGTCTCTCGGGTCGCGGTGGGAAAAGGCTGGATCCTGTGCTAGGTGCAGTGGCATTTGACACAACTGTGAAAAAGATGGCATTCATAGCTGCGTGGAGAGCAGACTGGGGGAGGGCCGGGAGTGGGGTATTGCAGGAGGTGAGAACTGAAGTCGAGGACCGGAAGGGAGCCCGAGACTGTGGGCCAGGGGGGACAAGAATGGCCTGGTCCCCTCTAGGAGGTGGCCGTGCTGTGCTTGGTTCCCTGGCGGAGGGGCCTGGCTGAGCTGGTGAGGAGTCTTTTTTCTCATTTGCTCAAAAGGCTCCTTGGTGGCTTGCGGTGGCCCTGATTGTGGGGCAGTGGTGGTGGTCGTGGCAGATACCCATATTCAGGAATTTGTATTTAGAGCAGAGCTGACGGGATTTATTGATTGTCCACAGGAGTGCTGATTAATTACTTACATACAGGTGAAATAATTTGGAACTTGTTAGAAAAAAAATCTTGCAAATTTGAAAGATTTTCTTCCCATCCATATATAGCCTTCAATGATTGGATCATATAGTTTTCCATTTTGATCCATGGTGTAGCTTGTTGACTCTCTTAATCAGTTTGGTCTGCTACAATAGAATACTGTAGAGTGGGTGGCTTAAACAACAGAAATTTATTTCTCATCATTCTGGAGGCTGTGAAATCCAGATCAAGGTACCAGAACAGTTGAGTTCTTTTGAGAGCCCACTTACTGGTTTACTTTGTCCTCACATGGTAGGGAGAGAGCACTCTCTCTAGTGTCTCCTTATAAGGGTAGGAAGCCCATTCATGAAGTCTCCACCCCCATGACCTAATGACCTCCCAAAGGCCTCACCTTCAAATACCAGCATATTGGGGATTAGGGTTTCAGTATATGAATTTGGGGGTGATACCTATCAGTAAAAAAGTCTCATTTACCTGCCTAAAAATGCATCTCATTTGTGGAAACACTTGTACTTTACAAAAACCACAGTAGCTGAAACAGCATTAATAAATAGAACACATTCTGTAGAATCCTTATTTTTACTTAGAAAAATAATTTTAGTTTTCTGTGGTGAAATCTTATGTTCCAAGGTGAAAAGTCATTGCTCATACTCTATGGAGTAAATCAGTTGTAAATAAATAAGTAGATGCAAAAATAGTATCTGTAGCAATTAATGCTTAGAGGAAATAAACAGGATTATCTGAGAGAGAATAATAAGAGAAATTACATGGGATGGTTTTAACTCATCTCCACCATTGTTTCTCAAAGTAGGTGTGGAGTTGAGTGGTAAACTTTAAAATTACTTGAGGGTTCTTGATAAAAATATAGATTCTTCCACCCACTATTGACTCAAAATTGCTGGGCGTGAGCTCAGAATATGCATTTTAAATAAGTTGCTAAGGGATTTTTATGGGTGTGCCTGGGTCCTCCCAAACTCTCCCACCCATGGTTCCCATCTTAAGTCCCCCATTTTCCATTCTCTACTTTTGCTCCATCTGCCCAGCTAGCCTACTCATCTGTGTGTATCCAGCTCTAGTTCCTCTTAAGGCCTGAGTCAGATGCCATCCCCAGATCTTCCCAGCTGGATGGACCGTCCCCCTCTTTATAGTTAGACTATACACTAACTATAGTGTATAGTCTGCTGTCCAGAGTGTATACTTATTGCTGTATAGTAACTTGCATTTAAGCTGTATCCTTTCACTGTATGAACCATATGCTAGGTCAGGACTGAGTCTGATTCATTTTAAAGTCTTTCAATGGCTTGCTCAGAGTGGGTATTCAAGTATGCATTTTGTGGAATGTCTGGCTTAAGCCTAGCTCTCTTTGGACTCTGTATTTTTACCACTTGACCGTGTTCTAAATGTCTCAACTATAGTAGACCAACTTTGTGCTAAGAAGGGACAACCAATTCTTTGCTCAAGTTCATGTTCTAAAAGGTAACATTGAGGAGTGATGAGTGAGAATGCAAGGATTTCTAGCCAGCCGCTGTGGATGCACCTGATAGCCTGTTTTAGAAAGGTTCCCAGTGGCTGTGTAATTGAATGAGGGTTCCCTACAACTGATGTATTCAACAAGACATCATAAATAGGGTGGAAAGAGGCTTCCCAAGCACTTTACTCTGAAAAAAAAAAAAAAAAAAAATCCATTGTGATCACACCTGCTGGAACTGAAGAAGGCGTTGCTCCTTTTTTTCCTGCTAATGATAACTTGGACTGCTCTTAAGGGATCTTCAAGTGACACCTCCTTCAGTCTACTGTCTGCATAGCCACCAAAGTAACCTAACATAAATTAGATCATGTCCCTACTGTTCAGATTCCACTAATGGCTTTTGATCTCGGTTTAAATAAAAGCCAGGTCTTTAACTTACAAAGGCTGATAAAGACCTATGTGATTTATCTGCTCCTCCCTGTCCCATATCTCTCTGATTCCACCATCTATTTCTCTCCCTTGGTTATTCCAGTGCAGCCACAACTGGCTTCTTCCTATTCCTTGAATATGCTGAGTAAACTCCTGCCTCAGGGCCTTTGTGCTTACTGTATTCTGTATCTGGAACAGTTTCCCCCCAGATTTTACTCTTCCATCTTTTTCCTGTCATTTCTTAAATGTACCCTGCTCAGTGCATATTTCCTGGTCCTGCTACCACCTTGCCTACCACCCACTCTGACTTTCTAGTCACCTTTTCTACTTTATTTTTCTCATAGAAGTTGATCGCTACCTATCATCTATATATTATTTATTTATTTATGTATTTATTATTTATATATAAATATATATTATATATTATATATAAACATATGTAATATATTGTATATAAATATATATATAATATCTCTCTATATATATTATTTATTTTGTTGATTTTCTCTCTCCCCCTACTAGAATATAAGCTCCGTGAAGGTGTGGTTTTGGTCTATTTTGATCATTGTTGTATCTTCAACACCTGGAAATATGCCAGATAAGTAGCAAATGCTCATTCAATACTTATTAATGCAATGAGGCAGAGTGGGGTAAACAAAAAGATTTAAATCCTGGCTCCCATCTTAACTTCCTTAAGCTCTCAGTATATCAGTTTTCTTATCTGTAAAATAGGAATAGTAGTAGTTATTGCCTCATGGAGCTGTGCCATCTGGTATAGTGTCCAATGTCCAGTACTTACTCAGTAAATGTTCCCTACAATCGATGAGGTTTTATAGGTTGTAAAAAGTATCTAGTAGTGATATTCCTCTTTTCCAGCTAGCAAATTTTTCCAAAATGTAATAATAAATGATATATTTTGTGCTTCCTATTTGCTGGGACTACCACACAACTTTAAGTGGTGAGTACTTTCATTATTTCCAGTTTATGGGTGAGGAGACCAAGGCACAGAAGGGTTGAACATTTCTTCCCTTGCCAACATAGCTAGTAAGTATAAAAGCTAGGACTTGATCAGTCTCGGGACTAGAGACCATGTTCTTTACCTTAATTTTCACTGCTTCTCACTCAGTATGTGCATGAATGAAGCTCTTGGGAAAGAGATGAAAAGGAGTCATTGTCAGTTGACTTACTTCCTCCATAGCAACATGAGGGGTTCAAAGATGGATAGTGCTGGGTGTTCTTCTCACTTCTTTGGTGGAAGTAATTCTTTTTCTCCAGCCAGATATGATCAGGACTCATGAATTCCCTCTCCAGATACCCATGACCCCTCTGTAGTGCCTTCAATTTATCCTTCTTACCTGGAAGCAGTGCTGGGGGATGTTTTTGGTTATCACAATAGAAAGTGGCTGGTACATAATGAGCTGGGACACACAATTCTGAAATATATGGAATAGCCCTGCACAATGATGGGCTTTCTTACTGAAATGCCCAAAATGTCTCCGTTATTTTTTCTTTTTTGAATGTCTTTCACACAGCCCCCACTCCGCTAATCCAAGGCGTATATTTTCTTCAAGGATCAGCTGAAGTCATTGCTTTGAGACTCCAACATTCAGCACTCCCTGTTTAACTATACTCAGTCTCTTCCTTTGTTTCACAAATGTTCGTTGAGTGACAGCCAATGTAAATGCAGAGGGGATTCATATGAATTAGACAGTCTCTGCCTTTATGGTGCTTGGGACCTCATTTGGCAGTTGAGGTTTATTCACAAAATGACACCACAGACCCGCTTATCATATATGAGCACTATAGAGTTTCAGAGGAAAAGTAGCTGCCTATTCATGGAGGGATAAGGGAACATGAGCTGGCTCTTGAAGGGCTGGTAGGATTTGTGATTAATGGATATTGTGGAATGAACACTCTGATGGTAGAAATCATTTGGGCAAAATTACATCCAAGGATGATTCAGGAAATGACAGGGGGGTTGGTTGAAAATCATCATAAGCTTGATACAGAGAAATGAAAGGAGTTTTAAGACAGGAAAGGAAGGCTGCATTTAGGTTGCTGAGGTCTTAAATATCTGACTGAAGAATTTAGACTACAATGAATTTATCGTTGAAGTCATCACAGGTTACTTGTTTAAACAAGGTTGTGACATGAATGAATCAATGATTTTGTGTGTTTATCTGCAATGATATTTATAGTTAAGAGTGGTTATGAGTTGGGATGGTGGAATTTTGAGTGTCGTTGTTGTCGTATTTTTCTTCATTTATTTTTCCTCATTTTCTTAGTGCTCTATGAAACTACAGCTGTTGTTTTTTAATTAGGAAAACTTTATTGGTTCTTAAAGTTATGATTTTTAATCTTGTATTCAACAATTTATTGAGCACTTATACAATGGGTATTTGCCTATGAGGCATAAAAAATTATGAAGGCATGACCCCTGTTCTCTAGGAGACCACTTGGAGAAGAC